CACAATACTGTAAAAAAAAAAAATAAATAAATAATAACTTAAGACGATCATCTATAAAACTGAAAATTAGGTATGAGGCATAGAAGTCTGAAGTCTGCAAGAGCTGCATTTACAATTTAGTTCTCCACACCAAGTTGAAATATAATTTGAAAATTGATTATATGAGGAGAATTGCCTGGCTTCATTGGGTAGAGAGTTCCAGAGCTTTGCTGCCTCATACCTGAATGATTTCATCCCATACCTTGTTGTTCTTGGTCTTGGGACCTCTGCAGTATTTGTATATCTAAAATTGTATGAATTATTTTTAAAAACAACCAGATCTTGCAAAAAGACAGGACTTAAACCTTGTAAAATTTTAAAGGTTTCTATAGCAATGGCACGCATTCTTCTGATACTTTGACACAATAAGCTGATACTTGAACATATGGTGTGCCGATACTTTGACATTACAGAGTATTTGCTGTACTTTTACATATATATGCTGATATCTTAACATAATTAGCCGATGCTTTGTCATTATACGTTGATATCTTAACATAACATGTTCACACTTGTGATTATATGCAGATACATTTATATCATCATTTGCTAAGAGCAATATGATAAGCCTGCAAATAGAGTCGTTTGAAGCCTTAAAAAAAGTATTTCTGATGATACTTAAAAAACTAAGACCCTCTGTTTAATATAACGAGTGTTCTTTTATCCCATATTTTTTTCTGCTGTTGTTTGGCTGTCTTCAGTGAAGGTTTCATCAAAGGTCAAGATGTCGAGAATTTTTTTTTACGATAGGTCCAAAACAATATGGGTAATAAAGTTGAAACTTTTACAGTTTACAAATATATCCTTGTTCAATAGATAGAAAGTATCACTTGAAAACATTTATTCTTTAGAAAAAATATATCTATTACTCGAGAAGAAAATTATCAAAAAAAAAAACGCATATTTTGAAAAAAAAAAATACACCTGCTTAACTCTGCTTAACTCTGCTTAACTCTGTACTTTTAGTGAAAGCCATCATTGCAGAATAATTGTGTTTATCAATGAAATTTGCAAGTAGAAGGGAATGGTCTCTGAAAGGCTGTTATTAAAAACATGACATGTATAAAGACAACACCCCTTAAAAATACACCATTTGTAATGCAACTTTTGATATCAAATCTCAACACTTCGAAAAAATAAACATGGAAAACAACTTAATTTCCAGAGGCTTTTGAAGTCCAACTTAACCTTCGTAGATACATATTAACATACATGTACATTGATTCTGAATTATGTAGAAATAACGTATTTTCATGGAATTCGATTTGAAATAACACGAAAAGTAGTCCCGATACCTATATTAAATTTGACATTATTTTAAAGAAGAGGCCAAGAACATACAAATTACCGTTTTCTGAAAGACTGTAAGCAATCTGAATACATTTTCTTTGTCTGATTTTGAAAAAAAACTCTCATATTCATGACTTGTTTTCTTAAATTTTTCATTAAAAATGACAGTTTCAAATTTGATTCATCTTGTTTCCCTACAAATTATGTCTCGAAACACCTTATTTGACCAAGCTATACTTATAAATCACCATTAAAGGAATCTATTTTTTAAGTTTGATATATCTGTAGACACATCTCATTTTCTAGATCGTGACCTTAATCAACGATATATTTATAAACCGTAAAAGTTTAAACATTATAAACCACATAGTTTTGGAGCTATTGAAAAAATACCTTACTGGACATGTTGATCTTTGATGAAACATTTAAGTTAATTCAATGAAAATACATTTATCTTTTATAATAAATTTGAATGCACGGAAAAGATGATGATGTATACCGGTGGCCAGACCACTAAATATTCCACTCCCGGCCACGCTGTTCCGAAAAACACATGTACAGCTCCACGAATTTTAAATTCACATGGTTTTTCGCAAAAATCAAGGTCACATTGTTATAACGAAAAATGTGTAACAAAAATCTTTTAAAAGTGATTTATAACTTAATTTTGATATTCCATTAACATAATTCACATATTATAATTGGTAGGATTTTTATATGCTTTTGGATGATACATTATGGCAGTTACCAAATGGTTATTTCATGGTTATTCTTCAAATGCAGCCGTCTTTCTATCTGTTAATTTTAAAGCATACCTTAGCCTTGCCTAAATACAGAAACAGTGCAGTTCATGGAACTTCTGTATTTTCTGTACATTTATATGCCATTTATGCGCAGGATGATAGAAGTATTTCTCATCTGTTCGACTGCATTCCATGTTAAAAAGATGTCATTTTTTCAGGTTAACTTTCTGAAATCTAGCAGCATGAAAGATACCTGCCAACGCAAAATTTCAAAGTTTCAGACTATAAATGTAAAAGAATGTTCTTTTCAATAGTAAAAATTTTTTATGTTGAAAGATAAACAATCCTTTATTGTCTTATCCTTTGACATGATTTCTTTATGCAATTTCGTCATTTTTCGACGATGCATTTCGTCAACACTGATGGAAAATGTGCAATGTACTTAAAAAAAACTCATCTAGCTGTAAGAAGTCTACATTTCAACTAAGTAGTAAAAAAAAAGCAATCAGGTTAAAACTGTTGCAGGACACCTTATCATCTAATAAGCTCTTTTGGTCAATAACCAGTAGAACTTAGAGTTCTGGAACAGTACAAAAGGATATCAGCAATGAAGAAAAAACATTTATTCTATGCATTTATTTTCAAATTTAAATGAAAAAATTAACAATTTGAAGACAATAACAAAATATAATCTATTACACAAATTTTCAAATCATCCTTATTTCAGCGCATGATTTACAAATGTACATTCATCACAATATGAGGAGATAATAATTATCGGATTTACGTAACAAAACAAGGATTTTCATTGGCCTTCAATATCACAGTGAGTTGAAGCAGAACATACTCATGAATATATAATTAAGTACAAAAATCTAGTATATACACATAAGAACAACAATCTTCTAAGGTCTCTCACTTCAACAAATGCATGAAAGCGATCTCATATGTATAATACTCAAAATATTAAGGATACTTGAATAATCACTCACATAAATATATTTTTAAAAACCACATAATAAATCAAAAACTAAGTAGCAAAACAAGAATTTTCAACTTCAACAACTATCAATTGAGTAGTAAGAGTTTTAAAAGTGCTGTAAAAAGATTAAGTTTCTTACTCTTTGAATTTTAATATGATTATTGTTAAACTTTAATGAGAATTCAAAACTTAAATCTACATTTGGTCAGAAGCATTAATGCTTTATACGCGTAACTGTAACAGTAGAATTTCAAGACTACTTGTTTTCAAGTTAACATAAATATGCGAATAAAATTTCTTATTTAATAAAGTGAACATGGTTGAAAGAAATACTAGAAGCAAGAGCCCCCCTCCAAATATGAACGGTATACATCTCTGTCTTACATAGCAAAACACACTTAATTGAATACACCTGGAACATACACTATGTCAGGAGGCACTCACCTAAGTTTTTCTTTACTGTTCCCATAATTGTTCTTGAGAAGACGCATGCACATTAATCTTAACGTACTTAAATTCCATTCACATGAATAATCTATGTAAAATTGTGTTGCATTTAACCGAGTAATTCTTTAAAAAATGAAAGAGTAAAAAGTTTAATATGACATTAATGACAATTTAATTTGAATACTGTATACATAAATTACAAATTAATATATACATAAAATACAACAAAATGGATTTTAAGCACCATAAAAACAGTTTATAATTCAACAATTCACTTCACAATTGACTAGGAACTCTTTTGCTTACTTGGCCATGCTTTGTACAGCAGAATAATGGAGGATATCATTCCAAATATTCCATTCTGGAAGCGTGATAATTTTCCTGACCACAGGACCAAGCCTGGAGGAAGCCAGCTGATAGCATTGGTGAAGTCAGCCATGTCTTGAATCAAGGTTAGATAACTCTCCTGAATCTCCCTAACCACAGTTGTCTTTCTTTCTGACCTTACCTGATCCTCGCTACATGAAATGTATACAAAGATTACAAAATAATGTAATTAATACATGAATTTGGTTTAATATTACTCAAAAAGGATCAAAATAATAAGAAACATGACAATTAACATGTAAATTTGACATGTGACTTGGTACTGCAGAGCTCCAGATAAGGTGCGTATTTGCAGAAATACGCATTAAAATTTACAAAATACGCATTGAAAATTAAAATAGAGCGTACAATTAGGCATTACCAATTATAGATACGCATTACTCCTCGAAAGTACTGCGTACAACAAGTTGAAGAAGACAGGTACGACTTATACTTAATAATACGATTGAGGTTAACTCAGCGATTGATTTTTTCTCAAAACGAAGTACAGATTTAAAAGCCTTTTGTGACCAGGAATATTCTAGTAATGACGACCACGATCTCCATTACGGGAGGAAGAATCGGAGATTTAGATTAAAACCAATTTCTATGTAGAAAGACTATGCATTTGGCATACCTTTTTCTTATTATGGGTTCATAGCCAATTTTTCATCTCTCTCTACTTGCCATATTAAAGAAGATTCTTTCAGTTTACTCTTGATACGATATCTTACTGTGTCTCCGACTCTATGGTACAGTGTACCTTGACCTACTGTATAATCTTCCTTGTCAAAACATAATGCTTCCCAATCTTAGCAAAGAGTCTTGTTGGTATTTACAAATTTTATCTAAATAAATGCAGCAACTGACCTTTGAAGTTACTCATACTTCGATTACAGGCTCAAAATAAATGTTAAAACATTTCCATATATGATATAAACAAAATACTCTTCAATCATTTTGCTGAAAATCAAAATCTGCATTGATTTGAAAATCAGGGAGTAAATACACTTTGGGGTAAAAAATTATCTGGAGCTCTGGTACTGTAAAAAATTAATTCTTTTATGAAAGTGTATCAAATACATTTTTCTTTGAGAAATCATAGACTTACACAAGTATTTTTTTCAATTACATGTAGCAGTCCAGTTGTGGTGATATTGATATTTCATCTTTACAATATACCTGTAATAAACTTACCTTTCTTCTGAGGACTGTAACAGCTTTTGTTTCCTGAGTTCTCCGAGTTCCTTCTTTAAGGACACTATTTTTGCCACCATTCTATAGAATACAGAATAAAAAAGTGTTTTTCTTTTTTTAATTTTGCAACAATTCTTTCACTGTAACTGGTTTTCCTATTTTGCCTCTTTTGAGGACTGGAAATTTGCAGAGATGATTTTTAGTGTTACATGTACATAAACATGTACATGTAAGGGGGTCCCGAATTGAGGCCTTCAAAGGGAAGCACAAGGGGTACTTCACATGTTTTAAAAGTGACTAGGGTAATTTGGGGGCTTTCTAAAATTAATTCCCAAATCAATCAAAATATTTAGACCTTTTCATCATTTTTATTGACAGATTGCCTACAGTAGCCTATAAAATTTTTTTTTAAAATTCTATGCATTTTGTGTTGTAGTAATTTGTGTTTATGGGGGGAGGGGGGGTAGTGGTAACTTTTGGATAATATTTGCCCCTGCTTTATTTTCACCTCAGCCTCAGTTTGGTTCTTGGGTCTGATAAAATGCATGTTGCCCTTGAACTCAGTCAATAAATGTATTTTAATTAGGAAATATAGGACAATTTGATGATGGGATCAAAAATAAATTGCTTTCCTTTAAAATTAATAATTATATCAACTGTGTTCACTCAGATATATTTACATTTCCAATGTGTTTGTATGCAGAGGCAAAATTACCAATAGTAAATGTACTTTATTTCCCCATCAATGTATTGGTTCATCAATAGGCGCTGTTATAAAAATCATGTGCAGGGCATGTATTAAAAGCATGTAAATATAATGAATTACTGTCTTATTTTTCAATTTCATGACGATGATCAATCAATTGGCTTGCGTGATTAATTTATGCATAAATGCCTTAAGCGTTCATGCAAAATATCAAGCAAGCCAATCCATTGATCACATCATGAAGTCAAAAAATAAGACAGTTATTCCTTAAGTACATGCAACATGTCTGAATTATTGTGCACAAAAAATAAAATTACTTGATCATGTCTGCAAACAGAGCTACTGCCCAGGCTACAATACTGCCGACCACCCATTTCCATGGTGTGAACGAAGTGAGTACTTTTTTATCAGCCAGCCAATAGATGTGCTCCACAGGAAAGAAGATTTGGTACGTGATGTTTGTGACCAGGCTCATCAGGCGAACCAAGGGATTCTTTTCCTGACAAAAAAAAAAACAAAACATAACATAACATGTTATTCCATTATTTCCTGATCATGACAAGGAGCGCAGAGTAGGTGTGGGGATGCTCACTTTTCAATAGCACCGAATCCCACCTATGATGTTTTGGAGGCCCATGTTCACTCTGTTCCTATTTTGTATTGTTTTATGAACTTTTGAGCTTGAATACTGTTCGTTATTTCCATGCATATATATTTCATTTAAAATCAAAATGCACTCTATCATACTACAGAAATTAGATAAATTAAAATGCATTCTTTAGTACAAATTATGATAACAAATATTATTATGACATTCTTTTAATATTATAATTTTTGACAATTAATCTTAAGTTTCAACATATTCAAGGTAGATTTCAGAGAGAGAGGGGTGTGCTCAACCTACAATAATATGTAGCTCTTAAAGTGACATGACACACATTTACAGAAAAAGGAGACTTTGATCATATAAATATACATGTAGATGTTTTTACATAAATCCATACTCATAACAAAACAAGCCCCATCTTCCCTGGCCAAGTGTCTGATTTGTTTTCCCTCAACTCCCCCTTGGCAGATTTGGAGATGAGGTTAAATGAATCCGACACTTGGCTTGTGAAGATGTTAATTCCATCATACTGCTTTGAAAACTTTTGTTGGAACAGAAAATATCCCTGTCAATATATGTTTTCATCTAATTTATAGTTATACATAGGTTCGAAAATCCTTTAAAATTTCTCAATTTCATGCATGATACCTTGACTATAAGTCTGGGATATTGACAATGTGACAATGACCTAGTGATCTTTTAAAATTTAACTGCCTAATGCCCCCCCCCCCCCCCGCTCTCCCACTCGCACATTAATATTTTCCCCTAAATTATACATGTAAATCCAGTAATACAAATGTATCAGTTTTCTATTCATCAGATTAAAGTAAACCGAAAGTAGCAATCAGTCGCGTGGTTCAATAAGTAGATCGTCCCACCTGAGCACCTGTCCCGTACTTCAAGTTAGAAAACAGCATAGAAAGGTCGTCAAACAGACGCATGGTGGTTCTAGCACCACCTAATTCCGCGGAAATGGTCAGTAATTTCTTGTGGAAGTTCCCCTGGCCACTGCCTCCCACACACATGGCGGCATAGGTACACAACCGAATGATTTTGTCCCTCCCTCGATAACTCTCCAACATGCGGACGAGCTCCATGTTTACAAATAAAGGCCTACTCGATTTACTGCGCTTGGGCTATATCTGCAACGCGGTGCGTTTGATTTCATGACCCCGTAATGTACTTTTTCTTTTGAAATAAGCAAATTATACATATGAAGTGATGTTATATATATAGATATAAAATACTTAATTGGCATGAATATATGGCGGGAAGGGATCTTCAGGGATCGAGTGTGATTAGAATAATTAATCTTATGGGGTCTCGAAAATAGACAATATTATAATAACGTTCCAATTAGACCAAGTGAACCACTCGAACGAACTAAGTGCACTATTGCAGTTTTTCTGCCCCCTGATTTCTCAAAAGTTGAACTGAATCATATTAAACTATTTTTGTACATCACTGAATAAAAGATAATCCAATCTGAACTATGTCTGGGATTTTTTTCTTCATTTTTTATGCGTCGTTATATAATGGAATACAGTCTCAGAAGTATAGCAATGTTTTGGGAAATTTTCAAAATTCAGTGCTATTCTCGGTAATTTTTCATTAAATTGAATATGAGCGCATACTCACATGTACTCAGGATTCATTCTAGAAAGTAAGAAAGATATTTTCACATAAGAACTGGCAGTAAAAAGATCTTTCCTCAGCAAGACAGCGCTCACTGTTTTTTCCAAGAAAAATCTTTGATTTAATGATGCGATGCACGGTGCTTGTTGGCATTGTTAACATCATTATAATAAACTTAAATTTATATTTTCTCATAATGAATGCTTATGCATAGATATTACTAATTATATCCTTGCTAAATTTTCAAATGAACATATGTTTTCAGAAAAAAAAACAAAAAAAAAACAAAAAAAAAAAAAAAAAAAAAAAAAACCCGATGTCTTATGTCTCTATATGACATCAAGGGACCTGATTTGAACAATCTTAAATTTACACTGTTAGAAATGATTCAAACGTTTATTCTGATCCAGCTATGTTTCTTGAAGTTGATGTTTTAAGATACTCGCCCAACATTTGCCTTTTCTTGATTTTTCTCCTCTTCAGAGAGGATCCTGTCCTTCATTTGAAAATAAAAATCTGGATCAGAAGCTTTTATTTCTAGTACATGATTGATAAGCGGTAAGGATCGATACATCGTCTCAAGCCACTGTCCGGAGTCCGCATATATATAGCTCCCTGAATTGGAGAGGATCATACATTTTGCCCGTGGTTTGCGACAATGGAATCGATAGGACTAATTTGAATTAAATTCAAGGGAAGTTTAAGTCTTACGTATTGCTGGGTCCAAAATAAAAAAGAAAAAGAGATTGCTTTGGGTCAAGTCTTGTTAAAATACGAAGATGTTCTAAAGGAAAAATTCAGTGTGCTAATTAAGTAGCTGCAGAACTGTAGCTCTCCGAAAAATATATATTAACAGACCAGATAGCTACAGTGCCACCCATTTAAAAATACTGTTTATTTATTGCGCACAAAAAAGTACGCCGTTTCTCGATTTATGCCTTCATGTTTTTAAAAATGTCATCTAAAAATATAACTAACCGTGTGTTCCTAACATATCCTTTCACTGTTTTCACAACAAAGCATTCCTTATACATGTGATTGCTGTTACTAGCCCTCCTGACCCTGAAATTGAGATCACCGAAAATTTCGTCTATTTATACTGCCATTTTGGTTCGCAAGATAATTCGGTCCAACGCACTTCGTGCAGAAGTCAACTACGAGTACTTGATAGAGGACGAAAGATTTTTTTTGAAATCTATCTTTTTTGCAATTGAGGTAAGAATTTTTGAAGAATTAATCCAGAACCAAGCGCAATTTGTTGTGCGCAATAAATATACAGATTTTTTCAGTGATTGGCACTGTAACTCTCCGGTCTGTCAATATATTTTGTCGGAGAGCTACAGTTCTGCAGCTACTAATTAAGAGGCATCAATGGCTAAACAAATACATGTTGCTGCATATTGATTTACATGAATATTATATGCAATTTGTGCTCCAGCCCTAAACAAGAGGCCCATGGGCCTTATAGGTCACCTGAGCATCATGCAAAAACTTTCAAATGATTGAATTTGGTTCATGTTTTAAGCTAGATGCTATGGCATTTATAGTTTTGAAAGAGGCACCATTGCTTATCATAACTATACATGCACTTAGCAATTGTTTAGTTTGTTTACTTAATACCCATAAGCAGAGCAGGGGAACAAAAATGTATGTCAACTAATCAGTAATATTCAGCAATAATCAGGAGTGCTCATACCACACATGAACCCCTGACCCTAGGTCTACACATTGCATAATTTTTGAAAAGGCAAGGCACACTTGCACATCAAAAATGTTTGATTAATACCAAGGAGCAGATTTCAAACAATTCATAGTCAGAATATAAGTAGAGCCCCCCCCCCCCCCTTTGGTATCCCTGACCCAGGGGCCTTGAAATTCACAATTCCGGAAGAAGAGCCCTTGCACATCATAACTTTATAAATAGTTCATCTGCTTATTATCCAGAAGTAGAGAAAAAGATTTTCATAGATGTAATGTATTTTCACTATAAAATCATTATAGAGCCACATCCCAACACCATAACCCCTGACCATGGGGCCATAAAATTAACAATTTTGGTAGAAACATTCTTGCTCATCATAACAATGTACTTAGTTAGTTTAATACCTATAGGAGCAGAGAAGAAGATTTTCAAAGAAATAATGCATTTTAACTATATAATCAATAGAGCCCCCCCCCCCCCCCCTTCCCCCGCCTTACACCAAAACCTCTGACCCTTGGGCCATAAAATTCACAATTTATGCAGAGACACTCTTGCTCATCATAACTATGTACTTAATTAGTTTATCTAATCCTCAAGAACAGAGAAGAAGATTTTCAAAGAAATAATGCATTTTTACTATATAATCAATAGAGCCCCCCCCTCCCCCCGCCTTACACCAAAACCTCTGACCCTTGGGCCATAAAATTCACAATTTATGCAGAGACACTCTTGCTCATCATAACAATGTACTTAATTAGTTTATCTAATACTCCAGAACAGAGAAGACGATTTTCAAAGAAATAATGCATTTTCACCATATAATCAATAGAGCCCCGCCCTAACACCAGAACTCCTGTCCCTGGGGCCATAAAATTCATAATTTTGGTTTAGTTTATTTAAGAACAGAGAACAAGATTATCAAAGAAATAATGCATTTTCACTGTATAATCAATAGAGCCCCGCCCTAACACCATAACCCCTGACCCTGGGGCCATAAAATTCACAATTTTGGTAGAGAAACTCTTGCTCATCATAACTATGAACTTAATTAGTTTATTTAATACCCAGGAATAGAGAAGAAGATTTTCAAAGAATTAATGCATTTTCACTATATAATCAATAGATCCCCGCCCTAACACCAAACCCCTGACCCTGGGCCATGAATTTCACAATTTTGGTAGAGGACTCAATGCTGAGTACAATGATACCAACAGTTTAACTGCTTGATGTCCAGGTGTGAAGAAGAAGATTATTTAAATATTTCACTAATTTTAGTGGTTTTTGCCCCATCCCCCCAGGACCCGGGGGTGGGGTGGG